GAGTTGAGAGCAGGTATCCAGAGAAATTCCTTCATAATTGCTGGCATTGTTTGTGTTTCTATAATGCATGGACCCGAGAACTCCCCATTTTTTCTCAATCTTTCATTTAGGCACTAGTTTCATTAGACATATCATCTAATAGATTCCATTAGGAATCTGATTCTACTCTGGGTATGAAAAATAGAAAAGAATATGTATAGTTCAAGCTTGAATTGTGCGGTGGTTGGTGCTCTCTCAGCTTGGTTGTTTTCTTGCAGATCTTTCATCAGTGCACTGATGATGTTACCTAGCTGGGTCAGTCATTTTGCATCTGCAAGAAAGCAACCAAGCTCATAAGTCACCAACAATCCCATAAATGCCGTGGTGGGTTGCTCCTGGTTCGCACTGGTTCGCAAGAACTGTTAGTAAAAATTTGTAGTAGTTCGGAGAACAGTAATAACATTGGCTGGCCACACCCCCACACTGGTCCCCATCCCAGTTGCCACTCGCTTACCCCACTCACCTCATCAGAGGCTTTTTTTTTTTTTACTTTTAAAAGCATTTTTTCTACAACCTCTTCGGCCGAAGAGGTTGTAGGAAAAAAAATGCCTTTAAAAGCCTCTGGCAATCCCAGCTGAGTTGCCTGATCATCAGAGGCTTCTAAAAGCATTTTTTCTACAACCTCTTCAGTTGTAGAGGTTGTAGGGAAAAAGTGCCTTTAAAAGCCTCTGGCAATTCCAGCAGAGTTGCCTAATTGTCAGAGGCTTCTAAAAGCATTTTTTTCTGCAACCTCTTAAGGTTGTAGAAAAAATGCTTTTAAAAGTAAAAAAAAAAAAAAAAAGTTGGCCACGCCCACCCAGTCACATTACCCCCCACAAGCCATGCCCATAAAATAAGCCACATCCACAGAACTGGTAGTAAAAAAATTTAGAACCCACCCCTGCATAAATGTGAAAAAGCTAACAAGAGAAATTTCACCAATTTTCCCTAGTAGATATCATAACGGATGACTCAAAGATGGATCTTAGCGACTTCTTCCTTAACACTTGCTCCAAGTTATTGATTTTTTTAAAGGAAAAAAAAAAACTGATCCCACTCTTGACAGATACAAGAATCAATTCAATTGAAAAACAGCATTCTCTGATATACTGTAGAGATTCTCAGTCATCCAGATCATGGTTGTCTCAAAAATTGCAGACTATGGGAACCAGGAACACTACTTAGGTGACCCAGATAAACCTCCAAGTGCCTCAACAACTTGCTAAAAGGATGCAAAGGACCAGCTGTCTGCAAGGAATATAAATCCTTCCATTTTTCACTATCCTTTCCAAGCTAAAGAAACTTCTTGGATGAGAAGCAAAATGTCTTCAGAAGGAAAAACAAACAAACAAGGAAGTCCAGTTGACTCCTGAAAAAAGCACCTTTGGGTCATTCTCTGATAACGTTATTTTGTGTTCCCTCACAATTTCTTGAGTATATTGCCTGAAAATATATGTATCCCAAATGTCATGGCAGTTGCAATGTATGGCTGTGAAAGCTGGACCATAAGAAAGGCTGAGAATTGAGGCCTTTGAACTCTGGTGCTGGAGAAGACTCCTGCGAGTCCCTTGGACTGCAAGGCGATCCGACCGGTCAGTCCTAGAGGAGATCAACCTTGACTGCTCTTTAGAAGGCCAGATCCTGAAGATGAAACTCAAATACTTTGGCCACCTAATGAGAAGGAAGGACTCCCTGGAGAAGAGCCTAATGCTGGGAACGATTGAGGGCAAAAGAAGAAGGGAATGACAGAGAACGAGGTGGCTGGATGGAGTCACTGAAGCAGTCGTCATGAGCTTAAATGGACTCCAGAGGATGGTAGAGGACAGGAAGACCTGGAGGAATGTTGTCTATAGGGTTGCGATGGGTCGGACATGACTTCACAACTAACAACAACAACAAAATGTCATGGAAATTGTGTGTCACCTGTGCAAAGAAATCATGCACCACGTTAAAAAGGCAAGGCAACATTCCCTTGCTTAAAGCAGGGATGGAGAAACTGCATCTTTCTTATTGCATGTTGCATGTGACGCTACATCTCATTTTTGGTCTCTCCCTTGCTGCTAAGCTTAAGCAGCAAAATGATGCAATTTTGGCAGCCCGATTGCAAACTCTTTGGGGGGGGGAAGATTACGGTTGGGGACGGAAGTGGCTTGCCTCCTAGAGGCTGCGTATTCCAGAATGACTCTTAATGCAAGATGGATTCACGTTACATTATTTCTCAAAGACAAAAGCCCACATCAGCCCAAGGACTGTTGAAATCTGTGGGATCTTTGAATTCTCGTTTTCCTAAGCCAATTTCCCTCACTGCTTTGATCTCTTTATCTGGACTGGCAGAGGAGAAACTCGATGCCAGGACATTTTATATCCCAATATCATCTTGGGATCAGGTTCTCTGGGAAATGTAATTTCCTAGGACTCCTTAATTGAACTCCTCAAAGGTATTCTTTCATTGGTGCCTCTGCTGAGCCAATAGCTGTCTATATTAATTCATCCCAACATGCTTCTAAGTAATAAAGAACTTGGGATGTGAAATCATTGTCCTTGACACTTAGCAAAGCAAAATAGAACAACTTGTCTGAAACAAAGAAGGCCCTGGTGACACATTAAAAGCACGTGCATTCTTTAGCCAATGAGTTTTTGTCATATAGAATTCACTACATTGGGTGCTTGGTTTATAATTTTCTTGTTTTTGCCTTAGCTAACTAATCTAGAAAATAGCCAAGGAATCACTTGTGACAGCCAGAATCATGTTGTGGTTAGGGACAAGGTTTTCATGCAAAAGTTGCCAGCTTATTTCTTTTTAAGTTATTAGTTTGTTTGTTTGTTTTTTAGAATTAGAATTATTTATTTATTGGCCAAATGTGATTGGACGCATAAGGAATTTGTCTTGGTACATATGCTCTCAGTATACATAAAAAGAAAGATACATGGAATAGGATAGAATAGAATTCTTTATTGGCCAAGTGTGATTGGACACATAAGGAATTTGTCTTGGTACATATGCTCTCAGTATACATAAAAAGAAAAGATACATGGAATAGAATAGAATAGAATTCTTTATTGGCCAAGTGTGATTGGACACACAAGGAACTTGTCTTGGTGCATATGCTCTCAGTATACATAAAAAGAAAAGATACATGGAATAGAATAGAATAGAATTCTTTATTGGCCAAGTGTGATTGGACACACAAGGAATTTGTCGGTACATATGCTCTCAGTCTACATAAAAGAAAAGATACATGGAATAGAATAGAATAGAATTCTTTATTGGCCAAGTGTGATTGGACACACAAGGAACTTGTCTTGGTGCATATGCTCTCAGTGTATATAAAAGAAAAGATACATTTGCCAAGAATCATAAGGTACAACACTTAATGATAGTCATAGGGTACAAATAAGCAATCAAATCATACTAGGAAACAATATAAATCGTAAGGATACAGCAACAAGTTACAGTCATACAATCATAAGTGGGAGGAGATGGGTGATAGGAATGATGAGAAGATTAATAGTAATAGTAATGTAGATTTAGTGAATAGTTTGTGAATTTTTTATCAGGGGAAGCATAGCACAGTGACATAGACCATACCTTGAATGGAATGGAAAAGATATCAAGTTCAATCTTAGACATTTCCACAGAGCATTGAATATCTGTTGGAAGCATCTGCCAGTCGATCTCAGCTAATGGTGTGATTGAGTATACAAGACAGCTTTCCATATCCCAAAGTATTCATCTGTATTTGCTCAACGAACAACGGTTAGCTTCATATGACCCAAGATCTGGTTAGCAAAATAGAATAGGAAGGAACATTCTTGTGTTCACATAACTTCCTATGCCCGAGCAAATAAAATGTATGCAACAATTTGTTTCATATAACCTGCTAAAACATTGGGTGGGTTCTGACAATATACTGACTCATTGGACAGAATCTTTTCCAAATTCACCAGCTAGCAACTTCATTCATGAACACATCCATCAGATTTCTTGGCAACAATGTCAAAGTAGTTTGCCATGATATGGAGTGTGGGGGGTCTTTAAAAAAATGTTGCCTTATGTCCTTAGCATTTCCTGATGGTTTCCCTCCAAGTATTAAATAGGGCCGGCCCTGCTTAGCTTTTACTCTAAACAATATTCAGAATTCACATTTTAATCTAACGTAGCACACTGTGTAAACCAAGTCTAATTCTTTTTTTTAATCTATCTCTGTCTAGAATGATATGGGGCAGTGGTGGAATTCAAATTTTTTTACTACCAGTTCTGTGGGTGTGGCTTGGTGGGTGTGGCTTGGCTTGGTGGATGTGGCTTGGTGGGCGTAGCAGGGGAAGGATACTGCAAAATACCTATTCCCTCCCCACTCCTGGGGGAAGGATATTGAAAAATCTCCATTCCCCACCCCACTCCAGGGAAAGGATACTGTAAAATCTCTATTCCCTCCCACCCCAGTGGAAGAATACTGCAAAATCTCCATTCCCTCCCCACTCCAGGGGAAGGATACTGCAAAATCCCCATTCCCACCCCACTCCAGGAAAGGATACTGCAAAATCATTCCCTCCCCACTCCTGGGGGAAGGATATTGAAAAATCTCCATTCCCACCCCACTCCAGGGAAAAGATACTGTAAAATCTCCATTCCCTCCCCACCCCAGGGGAAGGATACTGCAAAATCTCCATTCCCTCCCCACTCCAGGGGAAGGATACTGCAAAATCCCCATTCCCTCCCCACTCCTGGGGGAAGGATATTGCAAAATCTCTATTCCCACCCCACTCTGGGGCCAGCCAGAGATGGTATTTGCCGGTTCTTTGAACTACTTAAAGTTTCCACTACCGTTTTTTCAGAACCTGTCAGAACCTGCTGAATAGCACCCCTGATTTGGAGAGAATTATAGACAATAAGTTGAGAAGAAGTTTTAAGCAAGTTATTTTTCATGACTTTCACCATCTTGCTTGTCCATCCATCCATTCTTCTGGTTTCTTTTTTTTAGGCTCTCAAGGACCCAACTTTGGCTGCCCGAAAGGACTTCCAGAGGGAGGCAGAGCTGCTCACCAACCTGCAGCATGACCATATTGTGAAATTTTATGGTGTCTGTGGTGATGGAGATCCACTCATCATGGTCTTCGAATATATGAAGCACGGAGACTTGAATAAGTTTCTAAGGTAAAGGTTAAATATACTATGAGTTGTAGAAAGGGAAGAATGGAAATTGATATGAGGGATAGGGTATGACTGCAAATATCTTGACTTCAACAAACTGTGTATGACTAGTCTAAAGAAAAGATGGACTAGGGGTGACATGATAGCAGTATTCCGGTATTTGAGGGGCTGCCACAAAGAAGAGGGGGTCAAATTATTTTCCAAAGCACCAGAAGACAAGAAATGATGGATGGAAATTAATCAAGGAGAGAAGCAACATGGAATTAAGGAGAAACTTCCTAACAGTGAGAACAATTAACTAGGGGAACAGCATGTCTTCAGAAGTTGTGGATGCTTCATCACTGGAGGTTTTTAACAAAAGATTGAACAGCCACTTGTCTCAAATATTATAGGGTCTCCTGCTTGAGGTTGGACTAAAGACCTCTAAGGTCCCTTCCAGCTCTATATTGATTGATTGATTCCCACTATCCAACTAAAGATTTAGAAACAGTAAAACTGCTTTTCTTCTCCTTGAACCAGTGGTGGGTTGCCCCTGGTTCGGACCAGTTCACAAGAACTGGTAGTAAAACCGGTGGGAGGCCCTGCCCACCACCCTGGATGTCATCATCAGCGATCTGCACATGTGATCGCATGCATGATCCCATTGCGAACCGGTAGTAAAGGTAAGTAGAACCCAACCCTGCCTTGAACCCACCATGGTACTCTGGCTACTAGGCAAATATGGGACTAACCTAACACAAATAATGGTGTCCTTCACCTTTATGGACATGAGAAGAAAGTCTGTAGCACTGTCACACTAAGCCATGGGCAGCTGCATGTGACCAGTTAGAAATTTAAGACTTAAGACAGGGAAACAGTCCAGAAGGTTCAAACTAGGGACCAAAACCATGGAGAGCTCAACTGTCATTCAGGGAACAGTTCAGACAAAGAAACTCATAAAGCTTTCACTGCCAAGAAATCTTATGACAAACTGAATAGGTGGGTCTACTTCACTGAAAATAATTCACCATCAAGACATTTCTCCTAGCTGTATTTTTGGCAGCATCAATTTATGGCATCTCTTCACTAACTCCGAGATTCTCAGCGTCCTAGCACTGATCTTTCCTTCCGGCTTTGTCCTCCTGCTTCCTCGAGACGAATGGATCCGCATAAGGATTTTAAGCATGCAGTGGCTTGATGCTTTCTTATACTCTGGCTTTAGTGGGTAATTAATTTGCCAAGAAGGTCCAACTGCTGCTGGACTTGATGATTTCCCTTTTTCCAATTCTACAAAAAGAAAAAAGCCACTCTATCTTACCAGCATTTTTGTACCTTCTTGAATTTTTCATCAACATGGAATAGCCAATAGCCGAACGCGAAAAAAATGGATGGAGAGGCTGTTCTTCCATAATGTTGAAATCATGGGCTGATGTTCCAAGAATTCATGCAACGGTAGTCCCATATTTTTTTCCCCCCACAGTAATGATTATTAGTTATTTCCTAGTATTTAGGTAATTGGACTTTTGTGTCTGTTTCCTCTCCTCTCCTGCGTTGGTTAAGCAGGATTGTAAAGGAATTGTGTCAATAATTTAGATAGCAGCTCCACTTCTAGGTTGGCGGATTTTGCCAAGGCAATTATTCTGTTGTCAAAGCTGACACATGACTGGGGCTGGAGGAGGGTTTGGGGAAGCAAAATTCTTTCCTCTAGATTTCATTTATTTCAGCTCTGGCACCCAGAGGACAAGAAATATAGCGATGCTTCCGAAAACACAGCCTTGCCCCTCTTCAAAGGAATAGAGGAACTCTGCAAAATCTGAAAACCGCAGCAGACTACAGTTGCAGGATGACGGGACGAGAGTTGTCATTCTTGATGTATCTTTTCTGTTTCCATTTCCCCTATAGTCCTGTTGTCTAAATGTGGGCAACTCGGAGAGATTAAATGCATTTTCCAAGTCAATCTGACAAGCTAGCAAAAAGCCAACAGCTTTGTTCCAGTAGATTTAACAAAGGAATATTGACATATTCCCCCATGCAAGCAAGGTCAGCCAGGCCATTTGTTCTAGGAGCAGGATTTCTTCCCCCTCTTCATGGGAGAATTGAAAAAAGACATCGAGTGAGATCACAACGGGGGGCAAACGTTTAAAGCCCCTCCAATCCCTTCCACCATTATATACCAACTCCCGGCTTGGGACATCAATACTCGCTATTTGTCTGAAGGAGAGGCTAACTGGGTTTTTCTTTCCCGGCGAAAATGTTGATGACTCTTTAGTGCCTTTATAGCACAATGTCAGGTGGATTATCCATTTGATAAGGTAGCTACATCTTAAAAGAGACAAAGTAGCATCATCCATCTAGCCAAAGCACAATCATAAAAAGCTTCTTCAAATAAAATGGTTTTGCAGTGTTCCCATAAGATCCTGGGTAAATGGCTATTTTCTAGGAAATATGAAAGGTAGTGCTTCCTCTATGCTATTTTGTAAACATTCAGGCACAGGTAAAGATTGATCATTCTCTCTAGTTCCATGATGGCGAACCTATGGCACGCGTGCCACAGGTGGCATGTGTAGCCATATTGATGGCCACGTGAGCTCAGCTCTGGTGTGGATGCATGCACCGGCCAGCTGGTTTTCAGGCCTTCTGGGCCCACCAGAAGTAGAGAAACAGGCTGTTTCCTCCTTCCAGAGGGCCTCCGGGAGGGTGGGGAAGGCTGTTTTCACCCTCCCCAGGCTCTGAGAAAGCCTCTGGAGCCTGGGGAGGGCGAAAAATGGCCTACTGGGCCCACCATGCCATCATGTGCCAAAAGCAGGGGAAGTGGGGAGGGGGGTTTGCACACACATGCGTGGGGGCGGGGCGCATAGAATTATGGGTATGAACATGCACGCACGCAACCCTCCCACACTCCCCACGCTATTGGCACGCGAAGGCAAAAAGGTTAGCCATCACTCCTCTAGTCTATTTCTAGTCTATTTCTGTTTATTTCAATGAATCAAGGGAATGATTCATTGAAGGAAATGGGTGTAGGCTAGACAGATCACTTAACATACCAATTCCCTTTTTATGACCCTGTAATCCGTTAATTTGTGGTAGGGTTGGGGCAACTAGATGGAGCTGAGCATTTACTGACCGGATGCCCTTCCTGATGCCTACATGGAGTTCACAGCAGATTTTTTTTTTTCTTTGCATCCGAGGAGAGAAACATCTTCCCTTACCTAGGATTGAACTCTCAACCTTCCAAGTGGGAGGCAAGCATCTTTACCATTAAGCCACCATGCAGCTCTATCATTTAACATACTTACATATGTTCATTTCATATTTGCTGAATAAGCCTCAGCCAAGTTAAGCCATAAATTTTGGTTTACAACTAAGATATACAAACCAAACAAGCATGGTGCTAAATGTGACTCCTGCCACTGTCTTGTTTAGCAAGCAAGCCTCCAAAGCTGCCATTCTGAGAAGGCCATCTACATTCATTAGCTGTAGAGATGTCTATGGAGGTTATCAATCATCCAGGTCATGGTTGTCCCAAAGGTGTTTTTTTCAAAAGGCAACTGCATTTTCTTGGCTTTTTCTTTCTTTGAAAAACACTTCACTTCTCATCCAACACACTTCTTCCATTCTAACTGACTTGTGGAGAATGAATAGTCAAGGCCATGGTTTTCCCAGTTGCAATGTATGGCTGTGAAAGTTGGACCATAAGGAAGGCTGAGAGCCAAAGCATTGAGGCCTTTGAACTATGGTGCTGGAGAAGACTCCTGCGAGTCCCTTGGACTGCAAGGCCATCAAACCGGTCAGTCCTAGAAGAGATCAACTCTGACTGCTCTTTAGAAGGCCAGATCCTGAAGAGGAAACTCAAATTCTTTGGCCACCTAATGAGAAGGAAGGACTCACTGGAGAAGAGCCTAATGCTGGGAAAGATTGAGGGCAAAAGAAGAAGGGGACGACAGAGAAACGAGGTGGCTGGATGGAGTCACTGAAGCAGTAGGTGTGAGCTTAAATGGACTCCAGAGGATGGTAGAGGACAGGGAGGCCTGGAGGAACGTTGTCCATGGGGTCGCGATGGATCGGACACCACTTCGCAGCTAACAACAAGAACAACAACAACAACAACAACCTTTGGGACTAAAGAGAGCATCTGAGTCTTGGCTGGGAAAAGATAGAAGTTTAAAAATCTCTTTCCAATAAAACTGAAAACCCAGTAAGTAAAAGGAAATGTTGAGTTTTCCAACAGAAAAGCTTTAACTGCAGTACCTAAACTGGGAAAAAAAATAAAACCACTCTCAGTCGTATGATTATTGCTTTGTTTTCCTTCGAAATTATCTTTGAATTATGAAGACAACCAAATGCCTCAGGTGGCATCATTTTTAATTTATTCCCTCTGCAGGGCATGGGATTGTACCTGTTTTCAGGAGGAGCCGTGTAAAAGTGCAACAATTTCACTAGAAATCCAATATTTTCCTCCCTTTGATTCTTACCCCCTGGAAGATAGACTATCCATTTCTGTGGTTGCCTTCCAGAAGTTGTCGAACATAAAGCTGCTCCAGAGGAGAAATGGAAGCTAAGAGGATATCCCCCAACAGTGTTTGTGTTTGCTTTTTCACTCTTGTTCCCTGCTGGTTTTTACCTTGGGCATTTTAATTTATTACCATGGTCTGATTTTATTATTGTTAGCTGTTGGGAACCTTTGACGTATTCAGTGGCATACAAACCTAATCATATATCATTCATATCGTATCTCATCAAAACCCCGGGAAGGTTGAAAATCAAGATTCTATGCAAGCTAGGAGGAAGCTTAAGTCTCCGAAGAGAAAGAACCTAGCAGATTGAAATTTTCAATTTTTTTGTTGGCTAGGCTGTTGACAAAGGTAAAAATGCCGGCAGCTGTTTTAAAGAAAAAGGAAATGAGCCACAAAAGAGACATTGCTGCACGCTAGCAAAAAATACCCCAAAACCACAGCCTTACTGTTCTTATATACCACTTATTAATGATCTCCGGGGCACTACTTCTAGCTGGTTGTATGCTGCTATGGACGATAAGCCGAGCAATTGATCAAACGACAAAGGTGTAATTCTGGTGCTGGATGGGAAGACCTCCTCCACGTGTTCCGGGTGCAATTCACGAGGAACAAACCGTCTCTCCGTGCCACGTGTGGTTAGCTCACAGCCTGGGTGCCATAATCAGACCTTTTGGTGCCGACTACCTGCATTTCGAAAGGATAATGAAAATAGACTGAAAAATCAGGCTTGTCAGATGCTACATCTTTTCTATCCTGCTCTACGGAGTAGAGAGTTGGTCTCTGACAGAGAAACCACTTGAAGAAACTAGAAGCATTTGAAATCTGGATTACAGATTACAGGCGGCTGTTACGTATAAATTGGGTTAACAAAATCACAAATGAGGAGGTGATAAGCTGCCTGGGAAAGTCAAGGGAAATCATCAAAGCCATTAAAAAGCGAAAGTTAGAATATTTTGGACATGTGATGCAACACCCAGAAAAATGCGGCATCCTTCACTTCATCTTCCAAGGAAAGATTTAAGGCAAACGAGGTCCAGGCAGCCATCATGGCTTCAAAACCTAAGGGACTGGCTTGGACAAAACTTAACAGCACTTTTTCATGCAGCTGTTGACAAAAATAGGATCGCCAACATGATTGCAACGTCCAATGACGGATATGGCACAAGAAGAAGAAGAAGAATGAAAATAGGACGGTATTCACCGATCCTGTTGTGAATTGAATCGGTTTCTTAACACAGTTTTGGCAGCAGAGAGACAAACTGGGCTACCGAGCCGCGATTTTATTTTCCGTCAATCAGGCTATCCATCATTCTAAAAACGTTGGGAGATATACCCTCTCCTTCTACCTGATCTTGCAAAAATCAGCTTAGCTCGGAATTCATACATTATTTCCCAGGATTGATTTTTTTTAACAGTTATTTTTCCCTGGGAGACCTTCGTATTTGTACGGCATGCATGTTTTCCCCAAGTACTCTGTGTTTGCTTAAAATATGAGACTACATTGCAAGCTTCAGATTAGAACCCCAATTAAATATTAGCCGATATTTCTCAAGAGGCATTTGAGACACTGTTTGTATATCCTTCTTCTCCTCCTTTCACACAAACACACACACACACATGGTTCCCAAACAAGCCACTTTTAGATGTAAGATTTTTTGATCTTGACACATCACAAGGCAACAGATTGGTAGCCTCGAGGTCAGAGATGCCTCACCTGTACTGATCAAGGCTACTAAGAGAGTCCACCAGTAATTCTCTACTGCAGATTGGGAGAGATTTAAAGCCTGATGAACAGAAAATTCATGATTAAAAAGAAAAACAAAGAAACTCTCTGGGCTATTGCTGGCCAGATTGAATTTGAACGAAAGTTCTTTTTTAGAATACAAGCAGCCTAGTTGTCTTTCCCAAGAGAAGAAGGTGATCAATCTTATTAGGGCACATCCTGGATGCTTCCAACAAACGTGAACACATCTGCTCTAAAAGGAAATATTGTTCCCAAAATGGAGGAATAGGGTGAAAAGAGGATGAATCTGACAGAGAAGGTGAAGCCGACTGCATGAATTAGGGACAATAATGTAAATACCATATTTTTCAGAGTATAAGATGCTCCAGACTATAAGATGCACCTACCATTTTTGGGGAGGAAACCAAGAAAAAAAAACTGCCTCTGTCTCTCCCTCCCAGCAATTTGCTTCCTTGCAGCAAACAGCAAACAGCCTGTTTCAGTTTCAGCTTTAGCACAGCCTGATTAGCACAAACAGCTGATTGTCGGTTGGATCGGCCTCATGAAGATCAGCTGTTTCAGGCTGTGGGGATTACCATAGTCTATTGGCCCCATTTTCCAGAGGCCGGTGGGTGGAAAGGGCTACATTCGGTGTATAAAATGCACCCAAATTTTCACCCTCCTTTATGGGGGGAAAAAGTGTGTCTTATACTCCAAAAAATACGGTACTTTTTGTTGTGATTTGGAAACCACTTCTGGACTTTCTGCATGAAAGAGACAAAAATGAAACATTGACTTTGGGTTTTGACAATGAAGTGGGTTGTTGTTATAGAAATGGCTAGTATTTTTTGTTTTGTTTGTCAGTTAATTTATTAATTATTTGAGCCATGGTGGTGCAGTGGTTAGAATGCAGTATTGCAGGCTACTTCTGCTGACTGATGGCTGCCAGAACTTTGGCAGTTCGAATCTCGCCAGTGTCAAGGTTGACTCAGCCTTCCATCCTTCTGAGGTGGGTAAAATGAGGACCCAGATTATTGGGGGCAAATTGCTGACTTGGTAAACCACTTAGAAAGGGCTGTAAAGCACTGCGAAGTGGTATATAAGTCCTAAATGCTATTGAAAGTTCTATTGCTATTTATATAGCTGCCCATCTCAACGAACGACTCCGGATGGCTCACAGTTCAATTATTTAGCATAACTAAAATGTTGATATTACAACTTTATTATGTATTTTGCTGCCCCCCCCCAAAAAAAGTCAGAAGTCTCTCGTTTTTGGTTCTTTTTTTATATCTTTCCCCCCTTTCGCTCACTTTATTGCCTCTATTCCCTTTCCTTTCCCATTTGCCCACTGTCTTTATTTCTATTTCTATTATATATTAAGGGGGGGGAGGTCTTTAAGATAATTTTTTTTAATAAAAAAAATTAAAAACTCATTTTAATAAAAATAAAAGGATATATATTTATTTTAAGACAAATAAAAGATATATAAGGTAAAAGTAACATATGTGCTAGTCGTTCCCAACTCTAGGGGGTGGTGCTCATCTCCGTTTCAAAGCCGAAAAGCCAGCCCTGTCCGAAGACATCTCCGTGGTCATGTGGCCGGCATGACTCAATGCCAAAGGCACACAGAATGCTGTTACCTTCCCACCAAAGGTGGTCCCTATTTTTCTACTTGCATTTTTTATGTGCTTTCGAACTGCTAGGTTGGCAGAAGCTGGGACTAGTAACGGGAGCTCACCCAGTTATGCGGCACTAGGGATTTGAACCGCTGAACTGCTGACCTTTCAATCGACAAGTTCAACATCTTAGCCACTGAGGGAGAGAGAGAGAGAGAAATGGTGTCAGTTGTTCTGTAATTTGCTTTGCTGGATTTGACCCTGTCTTCTCTTCTCCAGGGCACACGGGCCAGATGCATTGATCCTTGTGGATGGACAGCCTCGGCAAGTCAAAGGAGAATTGGGACTTTCTCAAATGCTGCACATTGCAAGCCAGATTGCCTCGGGAATGGTTTATCTGGCCTCCCAGCACTTTGTACACAGAGACCTGGCCACGAGGAACTGCTTGGTTGGAGTTAATCTACTGGTGAAGATTGGAGACTTTGGGATGTCCAGAGATGTCTACAGCACTGATTATTACAGGGTAAGGCAGACTTGAGGGGATCGGTGGTGGAGTGAGTGGCACAAACAGAGTTTGGAGAAAAGAAACCGAGTCTGTCCTGACTGTTACTCGGTATCTCTGCAATTTGTATGAGGGATGGTTCTTTCCACAGCAACCAACCAGTGGAATGCCCAAATTCTGATGTTGTACACCTTGAGATTTAAACTACTAGGTCCAAACAGCAGAAGAAGAGTGATACCTTCAGGCATTAGGCATAAAGTCATATAAATAGGAGCAGTGGTGGGTTTCTACTGGTTTGCTGCAGTTCGGAGGCTCCGCCCACCCACCCAGACGTCATCACGGATGCTCTGTGCGTGCGCAGAAAGTTATGCGCATGTACAGAAGTGTCGTGCGCGAGCTCTCAGTTCCGAACCGGTAGCGAAGGTAAGTGAAACCCACTACTGAATAGGAGAGATGTCCACTGTTCAAAACTCCAATTCCAGCCTAGATAGTCCAGTCTAGGGAAAAAAGAGACACATAAATGTTCAAATTCTTCTGAAATAATGAAATGTTAGATATTGGCTACTGGTTACTAGACCATTCAGAGAACAGAGTTCCCACAAAACCCTACAGTTCCTACTATAGTTTATATAATTTAGATGTAAACAAACCGAAGATCAAATATTGAGTTTCCCCCCTATTATTGCATCAAAAACTTTCACCAGGGATTCCTGTGTGTCTACGTCTTGCCCATACAAGCCGAATAAAAGCCTCCTTCAAAGTAAAGAGAACTATACCAGGCAGAAAAAGGTTCAGGAGCATCAATCCTTTGGCATACTGTTGTTCTCCTTTTGTTCATGGACATTTTAATTGTGCAGCAGTGGAACATGGCAGGGCTGAATAAAAATCCACGTTCATTCATGAGCCAGCAAATTAGAAAGGACCTTTTGGCAAAGTTTTGAGATGAGATGGCATGCGTCTGGTGACTGCTTAATCCTCCCAGTGCCTAGATGTTATGTGATTCTGGGACATTTGGGGGCAGAACAGGGTGTCACTGTGTTCAAATGATTCCAAGGAAAGAAAACATCACCATTCTTAATGAGGTGATGACATACTTCTGCCAATTATTTTAGCAGATGCATCTGAATAAAGCTGGCTGAGCCCACCAAGGGACAGAATTCCACAAATGTGATTCAGTACAAAACAAGCTTGATTGTATCTACAGCAACAATACAGCAGGGCCAATCAAACTGGACTTCAAAATACAGAATCTATTACCCGTGTTTCCCTGAAAATAAGACCCTGTCTTATAACTTTTTGAACCCCAAAATAAGTGCTTGGCCTTATTCTCAGGGAGGTCTTATTATTTGGGGGCATATGGAGCAAGACGGGGATCCTCTTGCCATCTTATCTGATTTCTAGCTCTGTCTCCCTAACCCTAACCAGAGGAAATGGCAGGGACCGGCTGAACATGCATTTAAATATTTTTGGAGAGGGCTTATTTTCGGGGAAGAGCTTATTATCCAGGGAGGTCTTATTCTCGGGAAAACATGGTATATCTAAGACACCAAAGCTAAGAAGCAAAAGACCTTAGTTTGATGTACTTCCCTAGCAGGCATGGACCCAAGCTGCAAATTAGTCGAGCGGCATTTAAAATCTAAAGGACAATTGAACTACCAGTTGCTGTTTTTTTCTTCTTCTCCCCCACCCTTCTCCTCCTCTTCTGTTGTGACCATTCAACATCAGCTGAAACCCATCTTGAATATCAGGAGCCATTTTTCATCCAGAATCCATTCCCCATTTCTATTTCCTTGTTGTTTTCCCCCATATCAGTGAACTAGAAATTCAACCATGTAAAGTATTGCCATTTCATTCTGCTCTATGCTTAAACTACAGTTGTAAAAGAATTCCATAATGATGTAAACCAGGGGTGTCAAACTCAAGGTTCGGGGGCTGGATCTGGCTCACGGGGTGCTTAGATCTGGCTCGCAGGGCCATCCTGGAAACAGTGAAGGACCAGCTCATGGTGCTTCTGCCAATGAAAATGGAGCTTAGGAGGGCTCAGCTCCTCCAGATCCATTTTCACTGGCAGAGGGTAGCAGTAAGTGTCGCAGCCGGAAACGGAGCTCGGGAGCCCATTTTCACTGGCAGAGCGCTTGGGCCACTCTGGCCACTCCCACCCTGCCCCCCCGAGGTCAAACACAATGCTGATGCGGCCCTCAATGAAATCAAGTTTGACACCCCTGATGTAAACCATAAGCACAATGGAAGCCTTTATTTTTGCATGATGCTCAGAGAACATCTAGGTTTGGGGGAATCTGGTGGCTCAAAAATTAGTGCTGAGGGCTGATCATCAGGCCAATTCTTTTATACACAACTCTTGTTGGGGGAAAGATTTATTAATGATAACACCACCTTGGCAAAAGGTATTGAACTTACTGCAGTCCGTACAATTTCTATAAGAATTCCTCGTTTGAAATGGAACCTGTAGAACCTCTTTGTAAACTCATTAGAAATGGAACCTCTTGATGATCTGAAACTTTAGGTTAAGGTTTCCACATACACATATCATATACCACATAAATTATGTCTGAAGACAACGGCTTATCTTCAGAAGTTGTTATTGTGGTCCACCAGCAGCCTGTGGAGCTGGCAGCAGAGTTGGACAATGAGGAGGCTGGGGAGGACCATGGGCCAGTCCTGGAGTCTGGGGAAGGCTCGGATGAGGGCTCTGCGTCGGAGGCAGAGAAAGGGCCATCTGGGAGGTACTTGTTGCCACCGGAGCATCCAGAATCAGACCTCATCAAGGCAGAGAAACAGGGGGAGCCTGTTCCCATTGCACGCATGCAGAGAACTGCCAGAAGGCAAGAACAGTTCAAACAAAAGGGACGACTCAGGAGTAGGGCTTGGAAATGATTGGCCCCTCCCATAAGACTTAAAAGAGGAGCAAAGGCACCTGGGCCTTTGCAGGAAGCAACATTTGTTCATTCGATTCAGTTTAAAGCCTGAAGCTCTGTTTGATTCTGGACTCCGTGTGGCTTTGCCAATTAGGTCTTTGGCAGCGTGTCGAGGGAGATAAAGGTGGGTGATTATCCCGAAGGATTTCTCCCGAAGGACTCTTTATAACTAATTGGGACTCAGCTGTGAATGAAGAGAATTCACAGCTGTTGCAATAAAAGAGGTTTTGGGAACTACTCGTGTGTTTTAATGACTCAGGAAGCCTAGGTCAGAACAGTTGTGGTGCTCCATCACTGGATGTTTTTAAGAGGATAGCCATTGGTCTAAAATGATATAGGGTCTCCTCCTTGAGCAGGGGGTTGGGCTAGAAGACCTCCAAGGTCCCTTCCAATTCTGTTATTTTGTTATTCTGCTATTTCTTTGGCTCCCCCTCAAACTATAGAAGCCTTCCATGACTGTCATAAAAAGGTGATGATCGTATGGGGAGAAGGCTTTCGAACACATGTCAAGATACATAATTGACCCATAAGAAGCATTTCTTAAAAACAAACAAACGTAAATGATTTATTTATTCAATGTATGTGTCGCCCATCTCACTATTGAGAACTTTCGAGAGAAGCTGTCCAAATTTCCTAGAAAAGTCATTCAGTGATTTCTCTCTTTTTCTTCACTGTTCCATCTGCGTTCGCCGCACTCTCATTTATCCCCATTTCACTCCCAGTCATTCTTTCTTCAACCCAGCACATGCTTTCAACAGCCTCTCTCTCTCTCTCTTTCCCAGAAACAAGCATAATTCTGGAACAAGCCGCTCCTTGCATTTTCGCTAGGTCTTTCATTAAAGAAAAGGCATTGATAAATTAAAAGAGAATCCAGTGGAGGGCAACAAAGATGATTAAAGGATTGGAGGCCACGACCCGTAGAAGGAGATTACGGCAAACTTAATACAGGGGGTTTTATGGAAAAAGCAACGGGAAGGGTAACTGATAACTGTGTGTAAATTATGAGAATAAAAATAATAGGCTCATTTGAGGTGCTCTCTAACTGGTGCAGACACAGTTTAGACAAGCAGATAATTTGTTGGGGTAAAGGATTGGATGATCAGGTGAAGAATGGGTTGCAGGAATTGGATATGTCTAGTCTAGTGAAAAGGACTAGGGGTGACATGATAGCAGTGTTCCAATATTTGAGAGGCTGCCACAAAAAAAGACAGGGTCACCCTATTTTCCAAAGCACCAGAAGGCAAGACAAGAAACGATGGTTGGAAACCAAACAAGGAGAGAAGCGACTTAGAACTAAGGAGAAATTTTCTAACAGTGAGAGCAATTAACCAATGGAACAGCTTGCCTTCAGAAGTTGTTATAAAATGCCCTATTCATTTCGAGTTTTTAATATCTTTTTTGAGCCATACAGTATAAGAAAAATCACCAGCCCCTAAATCCCACTTAGAACATCTTGTAATTTTTTATTTTTTATTTTTATCTGAGATGTCAGGTCAACGTGACCAAGAATCAAACTGAACATGGGAAAGCATAGGGGAAATATCCCCCCTCTCCATATTTTCCCTGCCCTTCCTAAGCCTGAATACAAAATCAACTTTGGGTTTTGATAGAATTAAATTGATAGTTTAATGGAGCTTTGGAAACCACATAACATTTTTTTTAAGGTCCCCATGCCTGCTTGTGACCATGTATTCTATGAGTAGCCTCTCAGCTTCAGAGGAGTGGTAGCATTCAAAAAAATTTTTACTACCAGATCTGTGGGTGTGGCTTGATGGATGTGGCATGGCTTGGTGGGCATGGCAGGGGAAGGATACGGCAAACTCTCCATTCCCTCCCTACTCCAGGGGAAGGATATTGCAAAATCCCCATTCCCGTCCCACTCCAGGGGAAGGATATTGCAAAATCCCCATTCCCTCCCCACTCCAGGGGAAGGATATTGCAAAATCCCCATTCCCTCCCCACTCCAGGCGAAGGATATTGCAAAATCCCCATTCCCTCCCCACTCCAGGGGAAGGATATTGCAAAATCCCCATTCCCTCCCCACTCCAGGGGAAGGATATTGCAAAATCTCCGTTCCCTCCCCAC